TAATCTAAGAAACAGGCGAGGTGATGAAAGAAAGGGAAAAGAAAAGCTGTAAGAAAATACAAGATGCTGGTCCGAAACATAATTGTGTGCTAATCCAGCAGCACATTGGTTCACATGTTAGAAAAAAGACAAGAGTGATATCAAGGAATTGAAAATTGTAAACTTTGACCTGGAAAAGTGTTGAGAGAACCCCATGCTTCCCCTCCTCCCCCCCCCACTGACATTTATAATTTCTTTACCAAGTGAAACACCCTTCAAACTGGAGGTGCTGCGACCACTGTGACCCTCTTCACCCTGGAGAAGTCATTCTCACCTTATCGCACTTATGCTGAGGAGTACATGTTAGGACATGGTGGCATGTGGGTTGTTATAGAGCTGTCATATTCAAGCATATTGATAAAATACGGAACCCTCTCTTATGATCTCCCCTTTCGAGGTGCTGTGCGACTCTCCCCCCCCCCTCCTCCTATTTCCACGCTTTACTCCGGCGTTATCGTAAGCTGCGCATTATTGCTACCGCTCGTATTTTGTAAAAAAAAATTACCGCACTTTGTCGGAGTTCGCCAACTTCTACGTCGCCATAACTTGATCAGAATGGACTAATTTTGAATGCAAAACACCATTCAACTCAGCTTGATGAGATGCATCTTTATATTTAAAAGTGCCTGTTTGGGTGAAAAAGACGATCAAATTACCAGGATCTTTCCATATTTTCGCTTACGGTAGGTTCATAAGTGCACATTGATTAAACATTCTGAGTGATTTACCATGAGCAGGAATTTGGAAAGATCCGTAAAATTTGACCGACTAATGTCCAAACAAGCACTTCTATATATCAGAAAATGCATCTCTTAGAGAATCGCTAAGGATATGCGGCCATAGGCAAGCGGCGTCGGAAATATAGTTCGCTAATTTCTTGCGGTCCGCCTGCAGATGTTTGAAAGTATGTTAGGCATTTTCTGGGCGAACGTGTAGGGATAATTCTTAGATTAGTAGCGGAGTAGCGACCGCATTCCCGTTGACCTTCCGCGAGAATATGCAAAAACGTTGAGGGCCGTACGGCCATTTGTGAAACTGCACAACCCTTAGGTACTTTCCGCCGAAAAAAGGTACATTAAAACCAGTGGCGTACCCAGGATTTCGGCTCGGGGGGGGGCGACAAAAATTTTTTTTTAAAGAAGGTGCGTGGCATTAGCCACGCACTCCGAAAAAATTTTGGGGTGCTTCTAAGAACTTTTGCGGGTCCCCGACCCCTGAAATCTGTGAAAAGGGGGCGTGGCGTCAGCCACGCCCCAAAAGATTTTTTTTACAAGGGTAATTAGAATTTTTAAAATTTTTTAAAAATTATTTTAAATATTTATAAAAACAAAAAAGTCACTTGCACATTTTTATAACCCATATAAGTAACTTTCAAAAATTTCGCGACCCTTTCTCGGGGGGGGGGGGCGCCCCCCCCCCGCCCCCCCCTCGGTACGCCACTGCTAAAAACGAGTAATTAAACCATCATGACACCTCTGCCATATAGAGTCTCACCTTTGCTCGGCGTACGCCCGAAACTGCCTAAAAAGAGACCGAGCGCCTGCTAAAATTTTGGCCAGCGCTTGCTGGAAAAGATTATTTGGCAAGCGCTTGCAGAAAACTTTGTACTGCTTCCCGCTGGCAGAACATGGAAGTACCGCTCGCTGAAGGTCTAGTCAGCTCCAAAATTTTGCTGGCCGTTTGCAGAAAAGCGCAAGTTTGCGGAGCGCCTGCCCCCGGCGATTATCTGAGTCGTCGAGCTGAGTTGAATGGTTTTTGGATTCAAAATTCGTCTACTCAGAAACTAATATCTATTTATTTATTTATTCATTTGTTTAAAACGCTCTTGCCGTTCCTTACAAACGAACAAAACACACAGTTATACATAAACTAACCATGATAATAGATCATCATGCAGTTCAGGTCTAATCCTTTGGACTAGATTAGTAAACGCTAATACAACCTGTATGTGATTGCTAAATGACTATAAGTCCAGTACTGAATTAATGTGATCATGGAGGTGGCACCTATGCGCCCATTATTTGCCAGCAAAACGATCCTTAGATATTCCAAAGTAAACTTTTCCATAGTATCCGCTGTCGCTAAGTGAGTGCACTGGGGAAGAGTCTAATGACTCCAAGTGTAGGAAAAGTAGTTGTATATGAATAAGTAATATGCAACTAAATACGGCGATGCAAGGCGAAGTTTAGCAAACTCTGCCAGAGTGCGGTGATTTTTTCCACAAATTTAGTATAGTACTGGGTCAATCCAAAAGTTTGTGCCGTTTTTCAGACCTGTCTGTAAATCACTCAGAAAAAAGATGTCCAAACATTATTCGATGCAGAAATTCCTCCTCTTTCTAGCATTAACGTAGTTTTGAGTTGCTTAACACTGCTCGAATATTTGTAAGGATTTTCAGACGATGGCTTACCTTGTAACGATATGTCTGGCATAACGAGAACGAGGCACTAGTTAACTTCATATTTGGAGTCAGCCAATTCTGAATAACCCTTTAAAAAAGTTTTTTAGATTGTTTGATTTGCTTTTCAAGGCAAGTTAGTGGAATGTTTCTCCTACTCCGAGTTGACTGTAGTAGACCTTCTGTGGGGTTTGCGACAAAAAAGTAAACGACTGCATAGGGCGCCTGAGCCCGTACTTTTCGCAATCAGCAAAACGGAAAACAAGGCGAAGAATTGAGCCTGAATCTTGCAATATATATGCAAGACAATCATACAGAGACAAACTGAGATGGAGGACGTAATGGGAGACCCCCCGGTGAAAGGGCTGAAATTTTCCGACTTATTGTTCCTTTTTCTACCGATTGCTTCTGCTCATAATCTAGAGTAATCTAGATTATAAGCAGAAGCAATTAAAAAATCTGGGCCGGTAGTAATCCCCCCGACCTGGCGGCAGGTCTCGTCGGCAGGTCGCTGGCACCTTTTGTGAGGTGGCCAGAAAGTGAAACCCCAAATTTAGGCGGTCCCAGGCCTATTTCCAAAAAATTTTCTCGATGAAGATGCCGCTTGGACTCTGTAGAAAACTCTATAGAAATCTGCGCTTCTAGAAATCCTCCTGTGGGAAAATATCTGGAAGCGCAGAAGGAGCTGCCGGCAACTTCGCGATGTAAGTTGCCGGCAACCTGCCGGCAGCTCGTCGAAATCCGCGAGATGGCAGCTGCCGGCAGGTCAGAGAGCACGGGAAATAGCGTGCTCTTTTGAGAGAGGGAGCTGCCGGCATCTCGACGTGCCCCTACCACGTCGAGGTGGTGGCACCTTTACCGACGGCGTCTGCGAGTTTGCGAATTGCGGCGATATCACACAATTTACGTCAGGCGAAAAAATCAAAAATTCTACTTTTCATCAAAAAACTATCATTTTTCTCATTATATGAGTTTTACTTTTTCAAACCGACGATTTTCTTACAGAGAAAAAATTCAGTAATGCCTTAGAATCATAAAGAACATCATCTTTTTTGGCAATCCCTTATAATTCCCTTTGCACCGATTTCGCCCCTCTCTCGCTCATATCAATCAGCTGTTCTTTCAGGTCAAAGTTTCTCACGCAATGTATCGATCCTTCTTACAGGCAGCAATTTACCAGCGCGTTCCTCTTATTGCTGGTGCAAACGGCGTTGGCTGACCGAATGGTCAAGTGGTTAACGTGATGGCACTTCAAGTTAACGCACATAGGTTCGACCGCGGGCGAGGTAGCAATTTTGCGGCTGTCTGCGTCGTCAAAATTTAATGTGCGAAAAGATTGCGTGCTAAGGTTACATAAGATTATTAGAACCTACAATCACTCCGCGAGCTGCCGGCGGAGTTGGCATCTTTCCGCGATGTGTGCCAACTTGCCGGCATCTTTGATGCCACCAGGTAGGGTAGATTACTACCGGCCCTGATTTGACTCAAATACAGTGTGGGACTTTTTCTAAAAAATTTGGGATCATAAGTGGAACAAACTACAGAAGGCGTCGTCAAAGCCACTTCACAAAATAACTTTCATAGCTTTTTTCCAAACAAAATTTCTGGGACTGCCACTGGCACGCTAACCATTTCACCGTTTGCCACATACAAATTCGCCGCTTTCGATCTTACCTTTGTGCACTGTCTTCCGCCTTGGGGAAATTTCACAAGTCCAAACGAATTAGTGAATGTTCAAAATAAGCGTCATATGCCCTCTTAAACAGCTTGCATCTCACTTTCGACGCCCATTCTAAATCACCTTTTATTTGCTGGCTCTCCTTCAAATTTGCAAGTTAAAATTAGAGAAGCACTCAACTACTCAGATAATCACCGGGAGCAGATGACCAAGCGATTTTTGGGCAAGCAAGCACCGGAAGAATAGTTCTCTGATTTCTTGCGGTCCGCTTATAGAAATTCGGAAGAATGCTGGCCAATTTCTAGACGAATGTTCGGAAAACAATCGCTGTTTTTTAATAGATTGATGCGGCACAATGGCCGCATTCTCGCGGCTTTCCGTGAGAATATACAAAATTATTGGGGGCCACAAGTTCCTTTGTGGAGGAACGCACAACCCGCAGGTACCTTCTGCTGCGAGAAAGTGCCTCAAAGTCGGTGAAAGAACCATCGATGACACCTCTGCCACACAAAGTCTCACCCTTGCTCGGCGTACTCCCGAAACTGCCTGAAAAGAGTCCGAGCGCTTGCTGACGGTTTGATCAGCGCTCACTGAAAGAGATTGACGTGCGGTTGCAGAAATTTTCCATTGCTGCCTGCTGGTAGAACATGCGACAGTAAAGAAAGCTCCTCTCGCTGAAGCTTTGGACACGCCCCAAAATTCTGCTACCGCCTGCCCCCCCCCCCCTAGCGACTGCATGAGTATGCATCAAAAAGATCGCACACATAGTAACACTCATAACACTCATAAGTACACAGTCCTGTTTCGATGTCACTTTTCCAGTTATCCTATGGGCTCTTGTTGTCCCGTATTTGGCAGTTCGTATGTGGATCGATAGCGTACGAAATGGAAATGAAAGTATTGCCCAGTCAGTCGGAAAAATGTTGTTGTTTTTCGGACGAGGAGCAGCTAACAACACCAGGTTCGCTATCAATCTTTGATCAAAATAAATAAAGTAATTTTTTGATGGAGCGCTCGTCTCAGCATGGTATGCTTTCATGTGAGATGAGTTTCACAAATGGTGACACTTTGAAAATGTTTAAGGTCGAAGCCGTGAAAGAATTATATCTTTCATAACCAATGTCATGGTAATAGCTTTGTTGGTATTTTCTGCAATCAGCCCAAAGCTTGTATCCGATACTGCAGCAAGGTAGGCCCCATATCATTGCGAGATCATTACGAGACATTATAACAACTTTGCTATATTGGCACAAGTCTCAGAATAATTCCAGAACATCCGCAACGTTAATGGCTGCCATCATCATCTTTTTGAAGGCAAATGTGTTCATGCTTACAAATCGTTTCATAATCTACTGTGGAGATATATCTTACGTTTTATATCTTGTACATTGGCCGGTCATTGTGGCAGTGCGGTACTGTTCAGATTCGCAGATGGCACTGCCGGTACATGCTTTTTATATTCAATACTAAGCATAACTTGATGTTGTCAACAACAAGGGCAATATTTCATTTTGATAGCCCATCTATACTCAAGTGAATGATGCATTAAACTCATGCATTCTTCGCACTCAGATAGTCTTTGTATAGTATTGTTACCTTGTGCATGCACGACGCATGAAGTGTGACATATCCATGTAGATAGCTGTACTCGCGTAATATAAGTAGTAATGCATTCCCGAGATTCTCTGCTACTTCGCCTCACGCAAGCGCAGCTTTTGAAGTCAAGCTTTTGATCCTTGATCGAATTCAGCGCATTTGCTCCACGTTTCCGACCTATCTGCATTCATAGAGATCGTGAAGAAACTGGTTTCGAAGAATATAAGTAAACTTGGAGTCCGCGAAAATGCAGCAGGACTTTGCTGCCAATGTTCACTCCTTTATAAAGGGTCACCTTCGCACGTGAAGGTTATACGCTATTGTCGGTAAGCATGGCGTATCTTTCAGAAGCTGTTTTGCTTTATAAATTTCATTGAAGCAGTCCAAAAATTATTTTCATGGGTGTACAACTAGGTTTGATAAACGTATAGCTTTTTCAAAAGTAATTTTTTTTTTGAAAATATACTCACTTTCGTGAATGTTGATTCAAAAATTTGAAAGAAAAAATGAGGCTTTTGGTTGTAACATAATCCATCCATTGCGATGCGACAGCATTTGTGGTCATGCACAAATCATTTTTCTTTCTCATATTAATTTCTTATCATACAGTTATCATACACTACTCTTCTCTGTCGCAGATAAGCAAGATTCAAAACATATTTTGGTAATCAAAAAAGCAAAATACAAATGTCAAGCTAGCTATGTGCTTGTATAGTGGATTTCGGCCAGCTTCCCATAGATGCCCCTGCGGCGCACCAGCAGACGCTCCTGGCTCAATGCTTCTGATCTCCTTCATGGCCAGTAAAGTATTGCTGCGCACATAGTACTGAAACGAGAGAAGTCTATCAAGAATAGTAAGTGTAAAAGTATACCTCAATTTCAGTCAATTCATTAAATTAAATTCAAAACCTCTAGTAATAGTAACTCGTTGTCTGAATTGCATTTGGCTTTAGCCATTAAAATTTCATCATTTCCATATTCAAATGCTTCCAACTTTAGATGCTTGCTAAGTTCAACCATCAACTTCTCTTTTTCCTTTTTTTCATTGAGTGCATTGTTGTACGCAGTGGCAGCGCTGAGCTGTGTTTCCTGCAAATTCACAGCGTTTTGCAAAAAATTGAGCTGTTTTTTCTTCAATATAGTTTTCCACTTGTAGAATTTTACGGACTTGCAAGCGTTTATACTGACTTCAAGAGTCGAATTGCTGCCATTTTTGCTGATTTATTCCGACTTCTGTTTACTTCTTCCCTACAGAAAGCGGTTGTTTTGTTGTGTCTTCAGATGTACAATCGAGAGGAATTTAGCAAACATGTGAGCGTATCGTTAGTGGTGTTTATTTTTGACGAGGAGAGGTAACTGTGGTGATCTCTGATTAACAAGGATGCCTGAGTGGCTTGAACGCTGTGCTAATTGGTAAAGGTGGTTTGCATCATCACCGGATGAGGTTTGGGTCAAATCTTTTAAGCCAAGAGTTCATGATCAGACTTTGACCTTCTTTGGCAAAATGAGTTCTTGTAACTTGTCGCAGCAAGAGATCAACGAGATTGCTTGTTTCACGGTTTTGTGTGGTTATATGCATTCATAGAATTTATTCCGCTCTCTGGATCGCTTAGGGAAGGATGCACAGATAGTTTTCAAGAAAAATTACAAGTGTCCTAATCACACCTCTCTGGATCATTCACGAAGGGTACACAGAGATCTTCAGATAGTCCGTTATCGATTGACGCTTGCTGACAATTACGAGGAGGACTGGCTGTTGCAAAACACTACGGGACAATCAGTGACCAATTTGATGGTCACTAATTCTCGTAGTTGAAGACAGTGGATTGGAACTGTTTATTCAAACGAACCCGGTAATGGACCGGGTAGGGCACCTCTAAAAGTCTGGAGCTTGTTATATAGCTAACTAGTTGGCTCTTCTGGTCCAGCCCAGGTCATTGGTCACCTACACTGCGAGCCCCCCCCCCTCTTATACGTTATGGATGACTTACCCTGGGACCCGCTTCGAAACCGCATCTTCGTGATCCTGAGGTGAAAATGAGCTTCACCGCCCTTCTTTACATGACTATGGGAAAATGCTTGATTAAACATGATAATCCCTCAGTTCCTTAGAAAAATGTGATTAAATCAATAATTCGACAGCAAGACCCAACGAATCGCTGCAAAAAGTAGCCTATCATCTGCGCAGGGGTCGAAAACATAGGTGTGCAAAGTTTCAGCTGAATCGGTTGAGCAGTGCTTGTTTCTATAACGCACATACCCTCCAAACAGACAATTTTTGAGTTATATATACAGGGTGTCCCAAAAAAATATGCCTACTGTTTGACTGTGAATAACTCTCTTGTAATAAAGTGTTTCGAAAAGCCTTAGTTGCCCTTTTGTAGAGCGAGGTTAAACTTAGATTTGCAGTATGGAGCGAATCATCCATCTCCCTTCATTACTGTATAATTACGGTAAGAACTTCTAGCATATGGAACCATTGTGAAGTATACCACCTATCAAAAATTTTTTCAAAACATCTGAAAAATCGTGTACTTGGGTTCCCGCGCATGCTGATTCCACCTAACGACTTTTTACGAATGTTTTCAGCTTTTTTGACGGTGCAATTACATTTCTGACAAATGCTGGGAATTGAGTTATTACGATTTACCGGGGATAACTTAGAAAAGAAGCATCGTAAAATAGAAAATTCAAATTCGAAATCAGCGGCTCCCATTACCGTAGTATAACAGTTTTTGGCTTGTTTGGACTTGTTTCAAGGTAGAATATAGCCTCCAAGGGTCTAAAATCCTTGTCGAAGTTCATACCGTAATCCTACAGTAATGAAGAGCGATAGATGATTCGCTCCATACTGTAAATCTAAGTTCAACCTCGCTCTATAAAACGGTACCTAAAGCTTCTCGAAACACTTCATTACAAGAGAGTTATTTACAGTCAAACAGTAGGCACATTTTTTTGGGACACCCTGTATATAAAGTGGAGCTGACCCGTACACAAACAAACTGAATGAGAAGTACATATAAATGAAAGAGGATGCCGCGTTTTGCCGCGGCTCCTGGAAAATGCCATCTAGGTGCCACTCATTGATGAGTGATTCGGCACTCAAATACAAGCGATTGGGAAGATGGGCAATGTCAATGCCGTCAGCTATCAGGATGACAGAGTTGGTGAGGTTGATGATATACAAATCACGAACAGGCAGGTTGGGACGGGTTAAATCAAGAATTGTGATAATTCTATAAAAAAAGAGTTTACCATTTGTGAACGAAAAACACAAGTAAGGAAGAGTAAAAAACCTGCATCTAATGACACCTTAGTTGCGCGCCGTTCTATGTTTTATGAGCCTTGGGATGACTATTAGTGAATTGGTTACGTTGCTTGCGTTATCTGACTGTTATAAAGTTTTTTTTTTCAAAAATTCAAACGAAAGGTTTTGAGAAAATTGCCAAAGTTGGGCATGGTATTAGGTTAACATATTTGCAATGCAGCTTTTAATATAACTTTTTTTTTGAACGTAACGCAATCATTTGCGGAATATAAGGATAGGTAAGCTGCAAATGCGGACATTTTTGCCGAATTTTGCCATCTTATGTAAGGATTACGGTAGGTTTACGGCATAATAGAAAAAATTGCAGATTGTGTCAGATTTTGCTGAAACTTGGCCTATGGGGTTATTCGACATGCTGGTCACAAAAATGAGACCCGTTTCGCATGAGAAAGCCTCTTCGTAAGGTTAGAAAATGAATGCTATCTTAGCGACAAATAAATATGAAATTAGTTCACCGTATTGGATTACTCTATTGTGCAAAGCTTTAGCGAATTCTGTGGTTTCGCAGCTTAGTCATTGACAGATTGCCCTCAAAACTTGACGCATTTGACTTGTTCTACTTCCCAAAGGCGTCTTATCTTAGTTTGTCTTTGAATTTCACTTCTTTTTTTACTGATTCTAATGTGTCAACTTCAAGCTACGTGATATCTCTGATTCCTTATGATATGTTTGATTCAGGTTTTGTACGGCTTCATGCTTCCAAAAAAACCATGAAACTCAATTTCCAAGAGTTTTCGAAAAATGCTTGAATTTCTACCACGTTATTATAAATCAAACTGTTTGAAAAGGCTTGCAGCCCACGTAACACTCTACATGATGCCAAAAAATGAGAGTGCTACATTTAGTAAGAAGAAAGTTATGGGAGAACTGCAAAACTTATGTGTCAACCTAATAAAACCATAGGCTCGAATTTTCGACTATTATCTTAGTGGCCACAAAAGTAATCAGCGCAGGAACATGATTGCTTGAAAGAAGAAGGAACTATAGCTGCAATGGGTAATGTTCGAAAAGCCTGTCTGCCTCTATGTCACTTGTTTTTATGATAGACTGAAAAAACGAGAAGGAGTGGAGCGACCAAATACTAGGTCGTTTCAAAAATAGTATGCTTTTTTTGAATAAACGCCATATTTTATAGAACAAAGGTCTTTAGAGAATTTTGGCGTCATTTGAGGCGGCATTTCATCCTCTTTTGGAGGTTAACCTATTGCAGCACAGTCAGTGAGCTCTCGCGATGAGATTTCGCGAACCTTCAGATCTTTGCTTACGATAGATTACTCATTATGCTTATTCGTTGCAAACTAGGTAAACTACCATTCACGAAGTTCTTGAAAGATTTTCGTAATCTGACCATCTCCCGTATCCAAATGGAGAATTTTATGCATAACAGAAGATGCGCTTGCAAGGCTGAGTCGAATGGTGTTCTTGAATTCCGAGATCATCCACTTGTGTCCATACAGATTTCTGAAATGGTTAAAAGCCTGTCGCTAATCATCTCTCATGCTGTTTGAATTTGATGAATACGAAAGCATTTAATGCAGACATTTGTAAATAAGCACGGACATAAAAGACCATTTTCTATCATGTTCTGGAGGTTAGAAAGTGAGCAAAAGATTATTCATTTTTTAGGTATTCTCATCGCATTATACCTTAGCTTAACAATATCAGTAGCTATGCACCACACGTTCGAGGTGAGCAGTTATTTGAAAGGCGCGCGTGTTGCACATTCAATACATTTACAGAACTACTTTTTGAATTGTACCATGTTGCCGTCTCTGATTTGTGTTATTATCTGCTACGCTTGCATTTTCAGTTCTAGACATATCTACCTTCAAGCACCCCAACTAAAAATCACCACTTCATTCAAGTCAAGTTAGGCTCTTGTTTTGGCTTACTGAAACTCTTATTGTACTGATACAAACTGCATGATTACAGAAATTGAATATGCCATTGAGTTTAATATAAAAGAAAGTTATTATTATACAACATTCCCTGCGATAAAGACAACGACACTCAGTTTTACACGGGGTACAAAGATTTTCCAACATATCGATGTGTTGCTGTAAGTTTTATCGATGCGCGCCCCGATAAAAGCGTGTTTTTCCTCCTTGAAATCGTTGTAAGCTTGTTTCAATGATTTTCGAAATAGCCTGACTACTTTGCGCTTTTTTCAGAAAGGAAACGGCAGCGTAAATATTTTGCTGATGGGCGATTCAGTTGCGCGCAGAGCCTATTCACTTCTACACAACATACTCCAGGGACGTTATCTCAAATTTCGACTTTTCTCCAGGCCACGTGGGTGTTGAATAAAAAAGAGATGCATATTTGCAAGTTTTTTTTCGCTATTTAGAATGTCCTTTGCTATGGTATTCGAAATCAATGTCTAGTGTGATAAGGAAAGTAGTCCAGCATGAAAAACCAGACATCCTTTTGTACATGCACCGTTCGTGAGTTCACAAGCTTCACATTAAGTTGATCTTGACAAAATGAACTCTCGTTTAGATACAGTTCTTTCAACGCTCCAATTAAGGATTTGCAGAGAGACTCTACTTACAAACATTTCCAAAGCAATATCGACTTTATGAGGTAATTATTACAGCACGTTGTAAATGAACTGAAAACAAAAATACCTGCACTAGTCATTACGATGCAGATTTGATTGATGCAAGTCGCGAGTTCGCGTGGGTTTGTTAAGTTTGCATGTCTTGGCCAACTGCATAGAACCAAGTTGGCATTTAGAAATTCGATCTCTGGCTAACAAAAATCAATGTAACGCAAACTTTGGCAAGATATGCCCTTTTCATGCAATAATTCTGTCCTTTACTTGATGCAAAGTGCACATATACCGGGTGGCAGTTCTGCTTAATCGTTATCTCTTTGGTACTAATGTCTTTTGCCAATTTTGTGGTGCCACTTTGTAGAATTAACTTCAAATTACATTTGTAGTAAGAAGCAGTACGTCATTAGTACGGTTGCAACTTTGAAAAAGATTTCTCAGATTGAGAATCTTTTTTTTGCATTCAAAAAAGAGACAACCTAGAAAAATTTAGACTACGCTAGTCAGATTTGCCGAGTCCAACTCTATGAGTTATATAACGTGATGCGTCGGCAAGTTAAACGTATAGGTAACAATCCGACACTATTTTCTCAGTGTACTTGAAATTAGATTAACCATTTGAAAAGCTGCGCTGTAGTTCGAGTAGTAAACTTCGAAGTTAGTGTGAGTAAAAACCCTATTATCAATTTTTAGTGATTTACCATAAAAACTTGAAACAATAGCCCTATAAAGCAGTATTTCCTACTGGCGAAGCGAGAGTAGTAATAAATAACGTAAAGTTGAAGGCAGCTTACAAAATTATATTATGAGAATCTGCAAAAAAAACATCGGACTTACAAGGGAAGGATGATAAGTCGAAGTGGCCTTTTGCGATGACTTGTATACCATGTTGGAGGGCATGAAACGCTGATTCCAAATCTATCTTCCTTATCTGCGACGCTTTCCTGCACGAGAAGTATGAGCGTTTATTGGAGAAAAAACTGAGTGTGCAGATAGTGTAAAAACAGTGGTAACCATTATAGCGCTTAAATGGACCAGTGATAATTTTATTAGCGCTCTATAAAATAAGTATTCTCAGGTGAGGTATATCCGCACTCCGGCTGAATTTTAGCAACTGTTTTTATCCCAGAAAAACACTCATTTTTGCTCCTTCAAACGCTCATAACTCCTCGTCCAGGAAAGCGCCGCAGATAAGGTAGACAGATTTGGAGTCAGCGTTTTGTGCTCTCCACTAAGGTGTGCAACCATCTTAAAAGGCGACTTTGACGAACAATCCTTTCCTTGTTAGAGGGATATTAACGATTGAACAGTACCTACATACCTTCTTGACAATTTTGGTCTTCTGCTAAATTATTCATTTCAAAAGATCTTTTGCGTACTTATTTTCCATAACTGCTCACAGTGTTCACCATACATGCGATAGGTGGAAAAATTTCTCTGACCTCCTTCACTTTAGGGCCGGCATCTGGCTGACCCATTTCACCTGAGGTTGAAACTAGAATCAAGACATAACGGCAGAATCAAACAGCTGTTACAACGGCCCTGTTTGAAAAGAAAACGTTAGCTGCTCTTTTTCAAACATCAAGACTGCAAGAGAGTATAGGAACAACAGCGTTTTGTTGAAAAAACGCATGCTTGAGACCTTCTGCGCACTCAAAATGTCGTTGATAACGAAACATAATCAAAAATAAAAGGATGACTGGTTCTTTGAATTATAATTATCAATAAATACACATTCTCAGACAATCGCTGGGGGCAGGCGGGCACCGGAAAAATAGATTGCCGATTTCTCGCACCTCGCTCGCGGATTTTTTGGAAAGCAATCAGGACTTTTCGGAAGACCGCTTGCTGAGTCAGCGAATTTTTGATAGACCGCCTGTTGAATTTTTTTTCGCTCTTATCTTTTGCAGATATATTGCTGAATTTCTGAGGAATCTAGAACTCAGCAAGCGGTCTTCCGAAAAGTCCTGATTGCTTTCCAAAAAATCCGCGAGCGGGATGCGAGAGATTAGCAATCTATTTTTCCGGTGCCCGCCTGCCCCCGGCGATTGTCTGAGTTGTTGCAAAAAAGGGTTGAGCAAGAGTGGAAAATCTGACTAGCTAGTGGTGGATGCATGTTTACTGACAAGAATCGTACCATATCTCCTTTCACTAGAGTGAATAATAGCATATGAAAGAATGATACATTATACGTAACTCTAGCTTTCGAATCATATACAAAACTTTGAAAAAGACCATCTTGGTTTCAAAAATGAAGCTGTGATGAATCCAGAAATGGCTGAGATTGTAGCTAGATAAAACTGCTCGTATCTCGCTTCACAAAAAAAGCTAAAGAAAAAGAGACAGCCTACATGAATTCCTCGTGTTCTTAGGGTTCTTTCATACTACGCTCAGGATGCCTCCAAAAAAGTCTTGCTCCGGCGACCCATAGAAAGCAAGAGAGGGGTGGAGCAAGTAAGTACTGATTATCTCCACCTCATTTTTGAAAAGCCACTAATTTTCTCGCTTAACAACCTATAAAGCCTTAGAAAGCTTAAAGGCAGTGTCCCACCAGACTGCGGATATCTGGCTTTCGTAGAAATGTAGTAGTAGACCTCCTACCTAATCGATATCTATAGTTCGGAGCGAAAAAGGGAATCTACCAAGCCTGAAATTTGCTCCGAAGGTGGCCCGAATCTTACGTAGGCCCGAATGCAGCCCACACAGCAATATCGATTGCAAGGCCAGAGTGCTATAGCGCACACAGTTATGAGCGCAGGGTCCCGTAGCGACTCTGCGTCTCTACCTTGCATCCATTGCGTATTCGCCTGAGCTTACCGTAAGATTCGGGCCACTTTAGGAGCAAATTTCAGGCTTGTTCGATCCCCTTTTCGCTCTGAACCAGGGTCAAGCGTGTGATGCGACTGTCGCAACGGGGGGTCGTAAAGGGGGCCTACGGTGAGGGGGGGGGGGGTCGTGAGAGGGGGTAGTTTGGATAAAAAACCGTAAAAAACCGATTGAAAGCAAATCAAATAGCAAGTAATTATTACATGTTTTTAACAATAAATTCATGGAATGCCGTGTACCAATGTGTCACATAGAAACGAGTGAATAATAATTTGAAAACATTTACAAGCGTAGAAATTCGCTTTATTCGGTGCACTTTTGAAAGATTATGACTTAGTTCTTTTTTTATGGGAATCGCTACTTCTCCCGCAAAATATTGTCTCAAACGGGGATCGAACCCTGCTGGCATGACTAAAATCCAAAAATAAACACTTTCAGAAGCTCAGTTGCTACTAAAGGCATGTATGTGTGATAAAGATGTTGGATGTATTGATTGGTGTAGACATCCTGCTTCCGAAGGCTCACTGAAGACTCGCACACTCGACAAAAGCGCACATGTAGATCAACGATGACAATCAATAATCCGTAAATCTTTTTGTAATGAAATTTATGCGGCCCTTACAATTTATATGTACTTTAGATAAGCCCTGCTACTGCTGTGCGAAATCTGGTGCTATTCTATAAACTGCGGATTTTCTTATGATTTTATGTATGGTAGCAAAAAATGAGGAAAGGGGGGTCGTATCCTCCGGAGCTATTGAAGCTTGTTAGCTGCAAACTTGCTGTAATACGAGGCCATCCCTCTAGTTTTTACCATAAGAATTTTAGGCTGTTTTATAACTTCTCTGGTAAGTTACAAAATTTTAAGCTCAAAAATCCCAGTTTTTGCTTTTTAGGATCGCATCTAAATTTGCGAGAGCCTGATCTAAATTTTTTCGAGCTCACTGCTTTTCAAGGGCTGAAACTTTTTCTATGAATAGTCTGGGCACTGTGCTACAGAATCTGTTCTTTGCAGCCTCTCAGTCTTTTCCTGGCCTTAGTTACGAATTTTCAAACTGCCGTGCTCATGCATGTTTTTGACGTCGTTCTGGACGGCGCTAAAGCGGTTTTTTTCGCAGGAAAAACTGTGAAAGAGGTAAGAACTGAGCTTCTTAGTCGAAAACATCTTTTGTAGTTTAAGAATGTCATTTTGTTTCTCCGTGTAAAACAGGGTTGAGCAAGAGGTCAGGCGCAAGGCTGCCAAATACGACCCCCCCCCCCCTGTGGTGATGCTAAGATACGACCCCCCCCCATCTCTCCCCCCCTCTCCCACCCACCTCTGCACATTTCTTTTCTATGTACACTCTTACTATTACAAAAAATTCATTAAGTGCACAGATTTTCAAAAAAAAAAAACCAAATCCAAAGTCATATTTAGACTTTGGTGCTTCTTGCGATTTTTTTCTTTTGAGACATTTACAGCTCGTATACCATTCCTGAAGAGTTTGAAGTGCATCTGACAGTACTGTACTCGTAGGACGAGAGACGAGAGCCAACTGCAAACAGCCAACAAAACCCTCCCTCCCATCAATAAGCCTACTTTGTAGGCTATCACCCACCTTATTACGTAACTGGTTTGGGTCTGGTTTTTTTTCAAACACATTTGCACAAGGTCAGCTCAAAATGACTTGCCTGAAGTTTTTTTTTCTTTCTTAGATTGTCACATTTTTTAGAGTTTGGCACTCTCCTCCAGCATGTCGGATGAGCGAGGCGACCAGTATACTCGCTTTCCGAACTTCCGGCATACTTCTACTGAATTCCCAAGGTCGTTTTTGCTGGCAAGTGAGGAGGGCATGGGTACAAACTCCGTCGAATTATATTTCCTGGTAGTGTCTGCTTGGGCAAAACCTTAGTGCTTGTAATTTTTATTAATTTATAACTGGACCTGAATTGAATATGTTTTATTGTAAATATATATATACTTTGTGTTTCTTTAAAAAATATGTGTATCTCAACTGCTCCTTTAGTCTTACTTTGAGCACGCCTTAGAGCCTAAAGAATAAATAAATAAATAAACTCCGTGGACGCTTCTGAATATAAAATGCTTGCCAAAGACTATGAAATCGTTATTTAGCCGAACCCGTGCATTCTTCGCAGCTGAAAATGCTACACAACGTGCTGCAGTCTAAAATGGACATTGCGAAGATTGCGGTGTTGCCTTTGCAGCTTTTCTGTCCTGCAATTTTGTTCATTGATCGTGTTTTTTCCTCCGTGATGTAGATGATGCGTTGGATACACATATTCGACAAGGTTCTCTTGGTTCTCCTAATGACACAGAAGCAAGGTCAGTATCATTCATTTTTGCAAAGATTATCTTCTTCTTTACTTGAAAACATTTTCTTGCACCTTTTATTTTTACATTACTTTTTTACATCTATACTTGTATTGATGGATCGAGCAGATGCACTCAAAAGAACGGACATAGGTTGTCGGTGTTGTCGGTGTTGTCGGAGTTGTCGGTGTCGTCGGGGTGAGAGACAGTTTAGAGCATGCGCGAAACGTGGAGGCTCTCATGAGGTCCTATAGCGACCGGAAACCTCGGCAACCCCGAGAACACCAACAACATCGACAACACCGACAACAACGACAACACCGACAACACCTACAACCTATGGCCGTTCCCTAAGGGAACGGCATGGGGTCGGCAACGGTTGTCGAGGTTGCTGGCGTTGCCGACGTTGCTGAGGTTGCCGGGGTCAAAGACAGCTTAAAAAGCGCTGAAACGTGAAGGCTATCATGTGGTCCCACCACAACCGGCAACACGGCAGCGCGGCAACCTCGACAACCGTTGCCGACAATCTTTGGCCGTTCCGGGTGCATCTGCTCGACCCACAAACGCAAGTGTAGATGTAAAAAAGTAATGTAAAAATAAAAAGTGCAAGAAGATGTTTTCACGTAAAGAAGTAGATCATCTTCTCAAAAATAAATGATACTGACCTTGCTTCTGTTTCATCAGGAGAACCTTGTCGAAGATGTGGATCCAACGCATCATTTGCAACACGGAGGTAGTAACTCCTCCAGAACCATCTTTCAGCTGCAAAGCAAACAAGACTTGATTGAAAACGCAGCAAATATTGAGCAAAAAAGCCAACTTGAGAGTATGATTTCGAAATTGAGTACCTATTGCGTTCAAACTGCAGAGCACGCGTGATCATATTTACAGATATCACAACGGAGAAGTGGTAGCCAAAGGCTTGGAAAAGGAAAGCCTGCAAAGCAATCTCAATCGATTTACCTCAAGCATATAGTTACCGGCATAGAGCACGATGGACAGAGCCTTTGCTGCTTTTAATGGTTTTCGTATTCGCAACAACCTTTTATGACAGCGTACGACTATTGTTTCCGACAAAAGACGATCATTCGAAAGGCGCCTAATAACAACCGAAACTTCAGAAGGAACATGCATAGATCTCCTCACCCTGTTCTATCGTCTTATTGTCCAAGATCCGGTGCAGTCGGATAATGCCGCATCTTTGATACAGCGTCTTCACTCTCAAAGCTAAATATAGTAATGCGACCAAAGAACAAAATTGAGGGACAGGAAAGCTGCAAAGACAACACCAATATTCTTCGCAATGTCCGTTCTAGACTGCAGCACTTGTGTAGCATATACAGCTGCAAAAAATGCACGAGTTTGGCTCCATAACGATCTCTTGACAAACATATTTATATTCAAAAGCGTCCACTGAATTGACTTTCTTTCACCGAGTACTGTCAGATGCACTTCAAACTCTTCAGGAATGGTAAGAATGAGCTGTAAATGTCTCAAAAGTTGAAAAAAAAACGCAGGAAGTACAAGAAATTCACCTTGCCGTTCTTTACAACAATATCTTCGATAACAAGGAAACAACGACGAAGCAACTTTGATGTCCGATATTGCAAAACCTACAAATCACCTTATACAAAAGAAATAAAAAAGCAAGATAAACAGATCCAACCTGATTTAGTGCAGCAAAATTTGCTTCATTCACTGAGGAGATTTTTGGTTTCAGAGTAAATCGTTCTTGAATCATAACAAGAAGGTGAAGATGAGCAAACTACACAGATTCTGCATTGTAGGCCTATACCGTGAACCAAACGAGTATGCATACCTTGGTTAGCAAATCAACAGCAAAGTCGCTTGGAAGGCAGAAAGACGAGCAACCACAAGCTCCTTTCTGCAGATTGCTACTAGACAGTCAGCAGTTTTGATAAGAAATTGCGACTGTTGATACAAAAGGTAGCAAATTGCTTGCAAAGGAAAAATCAAAAACCCAGGATGAGGAAAACGATAAACAGGAAGAAGCCAAGTAAAAGACAAAGCAAACTTACGGCACATGATTCGAACTTTTCGACGATTTAACCCATTTGACTTCTTCAAGCAACTGGACAAAAAGCACTCGAGTAGAATGTGTGAATGTCACAAGACTAATCTTTCGGTCTCCATGTAGGAAAAGGAAAGTAAAGTAAAACTCCACACTGGAGTCGGCCCTCCTGTGACGACGAAGAAATGGAACGACCGCTTGAAAAATCGAGCTTGCCGCAGTTCTTATCCCCCGTGCAGAAACTTTGCACAAGATGCGTACCTACAGTAGGACGAAAATAAGGGAGGATTTACGACCAGTCGTCTTCGGCACATGAGTAGGATTAACCACTGATAGTTTTTTCGAAAGGTGATGAAATCGTATAAAATTTCAGCTGTGGAAAGAGAAAGGACCATTCAAAAGTTTGAGTGAAAAAATGGAAAGTTTTGAGCTGTAGGGGTTGCGCCTGACCCTATTAACTTCATCTCAAAAGCAACTTTCCCGAAGAAGTTTGATATGATTCGTTAGCACAAACATCGTAAATGTGGTACGAGGTGTGTGAAGCAGATTCGTCTTGTTTTAGTTTCCTAGGACTCACGCAGTAAATCCAGTCGAGGTGAAAAGCGCCATTGTCGAAGTTTTGATGGGGCTTATAAAACCATTACTCTAGGGTGATTTGAGACGAAATTGATAGGATATATTAAAGAAGAGTAATACTTTGCAACAAGTGTAAAAAGGTTGACTTTTTTGATCGTTGAAATCAAGTTAATCATGTTTGAAAACAGCGTCATCCAGACATTAGATAAGATGGAAAATTGTTATAGAAAATTATATAAAAGGTCCACAAAGTGTTATTTTGCATGCTAATCACGAAAGTAGCATCCACTTCGCTGGTATGAGACTTTTGGTGGGGTTACGGTAGGCATACGGTAGGTTTGGTAAGTCCAGTCAGATCAATGTTATCTCAATCAGATCTCTTGCCAGTTCCATTTCTAATATACTTCGCGTTTATCCAGTAATCCTTCAAGCTCTCGTTGACAGCCGAAGCAACAGACGGCTGGCGAGCAGTCTCATAAATAAAGCAAGACTGGCACATATGATTTTCAGATGCGAGAACTTACATAGCTTTGCACCATTTTCCATCAGTTCATTTACTGTTTCTTACTTAATAACAATGTTTGTAATTTTCTCACCTTAACTATTAGGTTATTAGGTTATTTGGTTTGAATATTCAAGAATCTGCAGTCTTCGACAGTTGTTTACTAGCAAAACAAAACTATTAGGTTGTCAAGAAAATAATGTCCGTTTTTATTTGCTTGCTTTAACAAAGCAACCAGACTCAACCCAACAAAGGGTAAGGGGTACTGTTCGATAGAGCAAAGCAAGCTCTCAAAGATGACACTCATGTCTTTGCGCCAAGCTCGATCCACGGAGAGTTCGAACTCAAAATCTAAAGATTTCCAAATGCCCAAAAAAATCGAAAAAATCAGATCTTCGTCCAGATAATTTCTACGGAACTCCCACTCGCTCACATCAATACTATCGATATCAGATATCCATATGTGCGATTGCCGTATTTTTTCCTTGACTAGAAACTGAAAAAACGAAAATTTCCCTGATTTTCTCAAAGCAATGCTGAGCCGTTTCTGCAAGTGTAGTTCTATACTACAAGCCTAGGTAAGTATAACTGTAGATTTTCAGCCCATTCCAAGCGGTAGTTTTCGAAAAATAACGATTTCGGATTTTTTCGTTTCAGTTTCAGTGCTAAAATCGACATTTCTCGAAAAGTACCGCTCGAAATAGGCTGAAAACCTACAGTTATGCTTACCTGGGCTTGTAGTATAAAACTACATATGCAAAAACGGCTCAGCATTGCTTTGAGAAAATCAGGAAAATTTTCGTTTTCTCAGTTTCTAGTCAAGGAAAAAATACGGCAATCGCACATATGGATATCTGATATCGATAGTATTGATGTGAGCGAGTGGGAGTTCCGTAGAAATTATCTGGACGAAGATCTGATTTTTTCGATTTTTTGGGCATTTGGAAATCTTTAGATTTTGAGTTCGAACTCTCCGTGGATCGAGCTTGGCGCAAAGACATGAGTGCCATCTTTGAGAGCTTGCTTTGCTCTATCGAACAGTACCCCTTACCCTTTGTTGGGTTGAGTCTGGTTGCTTTGTTAAAGCAAGCAAATAAAAACGGAAATTATTTTCTTGACAACCTAATAAAATAGCGGAATATTTTATTGCTTCTGTTATTGCTACATATTATAGTTAATTTTCTGTTTCAAAAAACTCTCATTTGTTGTCAATCTCGTTCCGGAATTTGACAGGTAAGCCTTTTGTCATCAAAGAGAGTGCCTATCTGCGCAAGTGCGTTTATTTATTCAAAAACAATGTATAGGAGCGTACAGTTGATTTAGAGTGTGTAATCACATGGATAAAATTGTCTTAGATATTCTGTTAGGCAAAATCCTATTGAAATCGAGTTAATCCGCAAGCATTATTTAAATTTCAAACCATTTGGCACTTTGGCGGATCCTTGAGGATGAAAAGAACACGCACTGTGAAGCCTCTCGAATGCTGATAGTGATCCATTTCAGGCTCTTTTCAAAGATGGTCTTTTCTACTATTACGATCCGCAGACATTTCTCGCACGTTTGGGAGATGGGGCTCACCTGACAACAGTTGGTCTCGAATTGCTACGACCACAGTACACTAAAATCATTGAGAGATTACTCCACACGCTTCTTGAGCATTGATCAAAGTGCAGCAATAGTGCTTGTAGCGATGTATCATGGTCTGTTATAACAACGAGGAAATAAACGAAGAAAACTGCCTTCAAATTGACGAGACCCCCAAACTCTGTATTTGATGGCGTATGGTTCATTACGCTTAACTCTAGGACATTATAATTATTCCTTTTTTTTATCTTCAGAAGTAGAACTCGGCATGCCAAGAACAAACAGTCGATTTCAACAAATTTGTATGGGTAAGGGTGTCTGGGTTAGCAACGTGTGGTGCACTAAAAGTTTGGCATTGTGTTAACTATGATGAATTTGAATACGTACAGTGATGGAAATGTCCTACACATTCTGCAAAAAACTGGTCAATCTAGGTTCTAGAAGCAATCAGGCTTATACGAACTCGTAGACAATGCGTCACTAAAGTTTGACTTACTGAACTTTAAAAGCAGCCAGAACTTCAAGTGTCAGATCGGGCTTCGAAATCAAAAGCCTGGAACGCCTCCAAGCTGCTCTGAGAATATGTCAACGACGAAGAATCGGTTTGTCAGAACTAGCGGGATTTGCTGGTGTCGATGTTGGCGTTCGACTGGTAAAAAATCGTACCATCGATGGGGCTTAAGCTCAAAATAGAAAGCTTCTAGTTGAATGAGTATCAATGTCGCGATTGGCATATGAAATTATCCCCTCTTGAATCCATTTGCTTGAGTCTGTAATAATTTGCATCGCCGCTTATAGAATACCTCCCGTATATTCTTTATTACATATAATGGCAACATTCGGCAGGCAGTGGCTTACATCGTGGCTTATACACAATTCACAGTAGAACCTTTCTGACGTTTCCTTCTCCACTAGTGTGTTTAGGACTGCAGTATCACTTTGATTTTGTTTTTTTAAATCAAACCAAAGTTAATGAATTTGAAATTTGTTAGGAAGCTTCTATTTTATTTGCAATTTTTCCACACTCCCCCCCCCTCCCTCTTTCACACCTTTTCAATATGAACATCTCAAATAAGGGTGTTCATTCTCAAATAAGTCAAGCACAGAGACTTGCCTGCAATACCACAACTCTGTCAGTTCCATCGTTCTACGAATAACTAGACTCTGTTTCTGATAAGGACTTAAGGGAGGTCTTACATCCATATGGTACCACCACATACACGTAATTCTAAAAAGGTGCAATAATTTACGCCTTTTTAGGGCTTCCGCTCTCATTTGTATGGATCACTAGGCACGAAGGGGTACCAAATCTTCAAAAAAAGACTTTGCCAGAGATTACGTTTTATCTCTGAAAAACAGTGGTAAGAGTTTGACAGAATGCAATCCTATTTCCCTACTCGAAAAAAGTGGTGATTGTGAGGAAAATGTGGGAATTATGCAGCACATGCTCATAGTGGATAAGCATGGTTTTTTACTTGCAATTTTCTAAAGCAATAATCTGCTTGCTCAAAGACAGCGCTTTCTTTAGCATAACAAGGTTGAGCTGCATTTTGCGTTGACATACATGTGCTTTGAGCAGTAGCATACACAAATGATGTACAAGATTCGAATTAAAACAAAAGTCAAATAGTTCCATAAGGAAGAGTGTCCATTACAGCAATGAACAAAGTCGAGCAGGGGGTGTGGCACACAACCTCCGGGTACGATTCACCCTAATTTTTGCCCAATACTATTTTCTTCCCCCCTCCCCCCTCCTCCAGCATTAGTTTGCCCACCGTCGGATGACATAAAGTCTTTTACCAACCAAAATCAGAAACATATGCGTAATTATTACGTCAAATAACCCCTGCGGGCCAAGTTTCAGCAAATTCTGGGGGTTCTCATATTGGGCCGCCTAAGTGAAGTGGCTACTTTCAAATATGGACTTTTTTTGAAAGTGAATTAGCTACCTTTTCTGTACTCTTTACAAAGCTCTAATCTGTCTTTGCTTACGTCATAAATATTGTTTTCAAGAACCATCAAAGTACAAAAATAAGAGCCAGCCAAAATCTCATTTGTCCCACTTTCGCTTATAGTGGTTGTGCTTCCAGCGACTACAGCTCAAACGATAGAAGACGGATTAAACTCTATCACTCCTATGAAAACTACGAAATTCTGGCTATAGAAGTGTTTGTAATTTTCGTTTGAACTTGCTGAGCGTTGACCAAGATATTACACACACTTAATTCACGGCCAACGTTTCGGCGGGATCGTCTTCGTCAGAGCCCAAAAAGTCGAAAACATAAGTGAAATTTCCTCCTAGACGCCAAAATTCCAGCTCAAGAAAGTCAAATTGGAGAGAGGCAAAGGCAAAGGGAGATCGGGTAACCAAGACTCACCTCCAATAACGTGTGATGATGTGTTAGACCACCATATACTCAGACTATACCTCCTGCCCTATTTATAGCGCTTGGGTGACCTGACCTCATATCAAAACCCGCAGAGGTATTGATATGGCGCCAGTTCATTGGTGATGACTATGCACTCTTCCTTCCGGTTCATCTTTGGATTCTTGGCAATCCAGACGCTTCCGAAGTTGGCGCGCTAGGAGGTCGGGCTCGTACGCAAATATAGTCGCTCGAATGCTAAGGTTAGCATTTTCATGGCACGAAATGCAATGGCTGCCTAGCGTCGTAACTGCTTTCAGTTCGTTCGACCCATCCAGATGTTTTTTAACGCGGCAGCAAAGAGTTCGTCCTGTTTCTCCGGTATACGTATACGTATCACCACACGATAAGCATGTGATGAGATAGATAACCCCGGAGATCATGCAATCACCCTCTTTGCCAAATGGGCAAACGACAAAGCTGGAGTTAGGCATGTACGATCGTGAGATCGATTTCTGACCAATTGACGCTTTAGGTTCGAGGGTAGTATATCGACCACCCTGACATCGTCTCGCAAACCGCGAGATGTGCGCATCGCCGCACTGCCGCTCTTATCTTATCCGATACGAACAGCAAGCAGAAAGAAATTTCAATAAGTGACGCGTCCGGGCTGCTGGAATTGGCTCTGCGTCCTACAAACTCGCGAGGGTTTGAGATAGGCTCACCAGCATACCCATTAAACTTAGTTACTTGATAGCTAACCCTATAGGGTAGATTCGCTCTTGCATGCCCAAAGACACTTTTGCTGCTGTCCGATACATGTTCTTTATAACCGCCTTTATAAGCTTGCTGGGATGTGCAGACTTTCTAGGCTCTGACGAAGGCGATCCCGCCGAAACGTGAATAAAGTGTGGCTAATATCTTGGTCGACGCTCAGCAAGCTCAAACGATTATCAACTATCGATGCAAGATTAATAAACAACTGAAGTTGGACAATGTTTGTAATTTGTTCGCTAAAACTTTTTTGGAGGTAAGTCAATGGACGGAAGTGGCACGACTCCAGAAAAGCTGTGGCTCTCAAACCTTTTTAGGGACTGTGCCACTACCCATTTGAAGCACGCAACTATTGTGTTTTCTTACTGCTTAATCTTCTCCTCTACAAAGCAGGCACTCATTCGAAATCGTTTATTCTAGGTAAAGTTATAGTACTTTTTCCTTACTTAGGCAAATAGAAAATACTGCGGAAATATCGGGTTACGGTAACATGCTATGCGTGCGCTACTACTTGAATTGCGAGGGAATGCGACGAGAGTGAATTTGTACGAGTTTAAATCTCCTAATCTACACAAAAGCGATTTGAGCCTGATAGTTTTTTCTAGTCTGAAATATTGAAAGCGAAATTGGAATAAACAAGATTTGGCTTGCTCTTAATTCCTTGAATTGGACGTTATCTGAAATGGGATTCCTAATGTGAGCAAAGAAGTAGTAGTACGTGAATTAAGCGCAAAAAGTATAATAGTTAATTTAAGACTTGAAACAATTTCAAGATGTTAAAAAATGACCAGCTTACTTCTGCGGCCCAAAATTTGGGCTCAAGAATCCCTAAAACTTGGCCCAGTGGAGTTATTTGACATGCTTATAACAAAAAAATGCTCTTATGCTTCTAGGAGTTCTTTTATTATTATTTTTGGCCACCATCGCTTACTATATGTATACGATGGTGGCCAATAGATAGATGTGTTAGTATTTTGCATAATGAATCTATCTGACATCGTTAACGAATATTATGTTATCGCTACATCAGAATCACTTCAATAAGCTCGCCTCCCTCCCTGACCCCTACATACGACCGTCGGGTGTGGCGTGCCACACCCCAAGTTTGACCGTGGCGATAAACAACTCCATACAATTGTGAGCAAAGATTATAATCTTCATTATCGAAGTATGACACTTGCATCAAACTCAAACGCGGATAACATTGACAAAAATAAACTACAATACAAGAACAAAGCAATCAAAACCGAAACTTAGCAAACAGTTTCCCTTAAAAAAATAAAATGTAAACACTTATAGTAGGCAATAATCAATGTCAATCAAATTGTGTCTAACAAAAAATTGCATCAAGATAGAAAATCAGTTTTTTTGCTCAGTCTCATATAGAAGATAAAGTCTTGAGCAATCATTCGATAGTTTTTTTTAAGATCGACTTCAGTTCACTGTTTTGAACAGATACTTATTTACACATTGTTTGTCCGAGAAATTCAGAAAGTATAGACGCAAGTGTTTCGTTTGCACAGGCCGAAAAAAAGCATAACGATTGTCTTCCAACAACTTGAAGATAAAGTTTTTAAATAGTTCTTTCTTCTCTTCGTTTGGACTATGGATCTGCAATAAAAGGTAATTAAAGAGTGTAACTCTATACAGACAGACAATTTTACTTGATCAGGCACAGGATCGGTAGTTACATGAAGGTGCTAAAAAACCAAGCCGAGGTTAAACCGAAAACACACGAGAAACAAGGTCCGGCACCGAGATTGGCGTCATCCTCAACAAGTTGCTGCACGACTGACGTGCATGCACAGACACGTTTGGTCAACGTCATTTTTGAAAAGCAAGTTTTTAAGGAGTAAACGATTGCCTCGTTTACAGCCCACGCGTGACGAGATGACACCACTGGTATAAAAATGGACAAGGGCTAGGTAGAAAACTGTGAAATCCTGTTGAAAATTGTGGCAAGCTTTTTCTAAAAGTTTTCATTGGTGTTTAGTGAAAAACTCGTGGCTACAAGTGCGATGTGGCGAATAAGCAAAGCGTGAAATCATATGAGAAAGTTTTGTGAATGAATGACTCCCAACTTTTTCCTAAAGCAGAGTGTCAATGCCTCAATACCATCATGAAGTTGGGGTTGTCCTACAAGTTCTTACGCCGGATTTTCAAAATATCATAACTTCCTTTCTTTTCAACGATTTTTCTCAAAATTATTTTTGTATAAAAGAGGAAACCTCTTTCTTTATAGCTGTGCTTTTGGCATGAAGTAGCATTGGTAAGTTCGAGACTTAAAAGCAATTGAAGCAAATTAGTCAATATCGACATTTTTCAAGCTGGATCACGAAAAATTCTGCAAGTATTCTTGTTTGATAGAGAAAATTTTGCACATTACGGAGGTACCTTTTTCATGAATTAAGACAAAGAAGATCGAGAGTTAGAAGCAAATAAAGAGAATTTCTTCACTTTTGCAATTTTTGAGCATGCTCAAAAAAGCTTGAAAACGTCACAGAAAAGGCGAAAAAGTCATAATCATGGGTTTTGTGACCTTCCCCTTCTAGGTGAGCAAAAATCGCGCCAATCGGGAGCAATTTTGATTTTCGTGATTTATTCGGATTTTCGAGTCTGCGTTTTTCATGAAAATCAAAATTGCTCTTGTTTAGCTCGAAACTCACTCAGCTAGAAAGGGAAGGTCACAAAATCCATGTTTATGACTTTTTGGCCTTTTCTGTGAGGTTTTCAAGCTTTTTTGAGCATGCTTAAAAATTGCAAAAGCGAAGAAATTCTCTTTATTTGCTTCTAACTCTCGATCTTTTTCGTTTCAATTCATGAAAAAGGTACCACTGTAATGTGCAAAATTTTCTCTATCAAATAAGAATACTTGCAGAATTTTTCGTGATCCAGCTTAAAAAATGTCGATATTGACTAATTTGCTTCAATTGCTTTTAAGTCTCGAACTTACCAATGCTACTTCATGCCAAAAGCACAGCTATAAAGAAAGAGGTTTCCTCTTTTATACAAAAATAATTTTGAGAAAAATCGTTGAGAAGAAAGGAAGTTATAATATTTTGAAAATCCGGCGTAAGAACTTTTAGGACAACCAAATATATTGGCATGTCATTTACATTCAAAATGTTTCAACAAGAGCTTTGTGTCGCAGACCCATTAACGTATGTTCACTCTATTTATAATCGAAATCGGCGTATTCCATTCTCTTTACAGGGGTTAATTGGCATGCTAATTATGGATATGTTGCCCGTTATGTTTGACAGGGCCTTTAAGTAATGTTTTCTCAGGTATATAGCTCAGGGGGTCTTTGAGACAGCAATAAGAGAGGAAGGGGGGTCGTAACCAGCGATGCCACACCTCTTGCTTTACCCTGTGTACAAGCCGCATTTTCCGATTTTTGTTCGATCTCCTGATGACCACTGGCTGTAGAGGGCTTTCATAACCTTTCGTCGCCGCTGATACTGACAGTGTTACAAAAAGATCAGGGGGGGGGGAGGAAGGGTGTGAATGAGTGAACATGTTGGTTACGGAAATACAGTGGATTTAGGGAACTGGCATATGAAAATGAGACAGAGACACAGAAATGATGTGCAGGATGAATGGGAATATTAATCTATGTCAGATTATATTAGGGTGATCCAAAAGTAATGGGGCACCTAGAGAATAAATGCAGTTTTCTCAAATAGAAAAGCTAATTGGAAGTCCAAGTTTTGGCAGAGGTTAGTACATAACAAAGCCTTATGATCGAGGTCTATAGTTGGGCACTGTTACGTGGCGTTAATTTTATAAGCGCCTGAAATCAAAGCACATCACTTCAAGTAATTTTGAACTCTGAGCAGCAGCTCCGCAGTAAAACAAATGAGCCTACCAAAGATATCTGTGCAGCAATGGGTGAGGGGACTGTCACCAAATCCACGATAGATCGGTGGTCCCAAGGCTTTAGAACAGAAGATATAGCGTTGGGTATCGGGAGAAATATTACTTATTCTTTCATCAAGCTAAAATAAGCTCAACCTTAACAGTTGCTTTCTGATAGTGCTTTTTACGCTCTATCCATACATATGCAAATCTTCGACTTTTCTCATTTTCAAAAAATTATGGGCCACTACATGAATTTTAGTCTGAAAATCTGCGCCAAACACCGCACTTTTTCGAATAAAGTGCCCTTTTGTATAAAATAATGGGCAATTTTTGAATATTCAAGTAATCATTGAAAAGAGCTTGGAAAGCTCTATCGAATGGTATGCCATATTTCGAGGGACTTTCAGATGCAGCAGCGCAAATTCGAATGGCGTTCAAAAAAATCTGTCTGACTTCTTTGAAGCGCCGCTCGAAGGAATGTCAGTGAGGTGCTGCAAGGTGCTGTCAAGATAACCTTCGAAGGTCACTTTATACAAAAGCGTTCAAAGTGCTGGTTGTTCATAGCTAATTCAGAAAGAGATCTTGAAAAATGTTGAAAAAATCAAGGTGCCCCGTTACTTTTGGATCACCCTAATAGTATTTTCTAACACAAACCACTTTTCTCCTTGTTCGACAAGGAACGGAGCCGTATGCGCTAGAAGATAATATAATTTTCCTTCTACAAAATCTGACCTCCATATTGAACTGGCAGATTGTTATTCCATATTGATCCAGTTTCCCTCCTCGGTAAAAGTACGGAAATAAACCATACTCCGCTCCTTCTGCGTCAATCCAAAGAGCGTCGTACACCTGCAGCTTACGTGTTACTCTGAGTAGATCAAAATCTAGAAAGCTTACTGTATATCCTAAAATTTCCTTGAGAAAATAGGCTAAATCCAAATGAAATACGCTGCGCATCTTGTAAGATCCTGAAATTTCTGACTGCGTTACGTAGCTTTGGGAATGTTGTGCATACTATTGATCAGAACACTTGCGCTTGAAATTTGCGATTTCGATCCAACTGCAAATGGAACAAATGTGCCAAACTTGTTGTAGAGATCCTCGTTAACTTCGTGATCGGGATCCGCTTCAAAGAAAAGCGAACCTTCTGGCAACACCTAAAGCGGAGCTTATGCAGTGCTGGACATAATTATACAGCCACTCTAGAAATCGTCGTAATTTTTGTTCTTGTCAATGAATCTGTCTGAAACCTTGCTGTATTGTGCGCATGTCAACCTACCATAACTCCTCAAAACGGCTTCCAGTATTGTTGAGTTTGAACGGAGAAAAACGAAAAAAATCGAAAAAAGCCCTTTTTGAAAGCTGGACAAAATTATACAGCCACTTGGTTTTTCTAATCACTATCGCATTCGTTGACTCTCAAATTTTTTTGTACAATTACATCCCAAAATATGAAACATTTGCGACACTTACGGCCTGTCTTCCTACTCAAGTAGAAGCGATCACTGCATTTTTTGCTTTCAAAAGCACCAAAAATCAGTTTGCTTCAACAAACAACTGGTTTGAAGAGTTTTCAAGCTCTTGTTCATTTCAAATGATAATCATGGAATCTACTGACCCTTCTGGATAGATGAGGTGAAGAGCGCTTTCGTAAACTCTGCGTAATCGCTGATTTTGACGGACAGACTCCAACCTCAACATAGGCTTGGAACGCTTTTAAACCACAAAACTCAGTTTGCAATGTCCACAAAGTGCTGAACTTGATTTATCACATTGTCTACATGGGGATACAGCTTTCGCAACAACTTTCAGATTTTTCCTAATGATGCGGTAGCGATTTAGACCTGGATTACTTTCCACAAAAATTCCCTGCGAGCGGAAGATTCAATATAACCCTAGATCTCCTTATTTCCGTCTGTGTTTCATGTCATATTTCACCCGATGAATGAGATTAGCTAAGATTTTGAAGTTTTAAGCGTCTCCGGTTTTATCTCGTGATCTGAGTTGGCTTTGATTGTACGGTGCTCCACTCAACATTCAGTGAATGCAACTGCGGCTGAATTAGAGTGCTCAGTCCCGAAATTTCTTCCCAGTTATGCACACGAGTTCACTGTGTATGGTTGTCTTAATGGCTACATTACAGTATTTTCCGTCGCTTGAAAATCGAGTTTCGTGGTGCAAAAGTGCGTCAACCCTATGGTGAGGTTGGAGTCTGTTCGTCAAAATCAGCGATTACGCAGAGTTTACGAAAGCGCTCTTCACCTCATCTATCCAGAAGGGTCAGTAGATGATGATTATCATTTGGAATGAACAAGAGCTTGAAAACTCTTCAAAGCAGTTGTTTGTTGAAGGAGATTGAAAGACAGGCCGTAAGTGTCGCAAATGTTTCATATTTTGGGATGTAATTGTACAAAAAAATTTGAGAGTCAACGAATGCGATAGTGATTAGAAAAACCAGGTGGCTGTATAATTTTGTCCAGCTTTCAAAGAGGGCTTTTTCGATTTTTTTCGTTTTTCTCCGTTCAAACTCAACAAGACTGGAAGCCGTTTTGAGGGGTTATGGTAGGTGGACATGCGCACAATATAGCAAAGTTTCTGACAGATTCATTGACAAGAACAAAAATTACGACGATTTCTAGAGTGGCTGTATAATTATGTCCAGCACTGTATCAGAAATTTGACAAGTACCAAGACCAAAAAGTGCATTTTTAATTTCAATTTAGATATGCCCATATTCGAAAATTTATAAATTCTGATTTCTATAGAATTTGAATAGGTTTGACTTCAATCTTAAGGAAAGATTACGCGCTTTCTAAAAACCATAGAATGTCGAGACGCAGACTAAGAGATGGTCCGACAGTCCTCACCCCAACTGGGCGGTGCCCAGCAACTCCAGATGAGCTGTGCCTAATCGGGTGACCGGCGGCTTCCCTTCCCCTCTTTTACCTTACATATATATAATAAAGATTCTAGTCATAAATGTTATGTTCATACCAAGTAAGACAATCAGGGTGAAGGATTCAAGTCAGGAGAGTGCACCTCCTGGACTTGACATGGAGGTCCCGGGTTGTTTTCTTTTTATGACTCACATTTTTTCGAATCAATCATTTTTCGAGCATTATTTTTCTGAATCAAAAAAAAATTGAAATTTAATCAGCATTGATTTTGGCCAAGTCTTTGCAAACTCCCACCGCCGGCACCAGCCCTCATCTCCTACGTCTCTACGTAGCTATTTTTCTCATATTTTCTTCCTTTCTTATCTCATTTTCTCATTTTCTTCCTTAGTTTTTTTGAGTCAGGCGGTGAGTTTGAGTTTGTATTCATATGGTAACCTCACTTAAAATATTTCCATTTTTTTATATTCAATCATTTTTTCTTGCTATTTCCGAGCCGTGATCCCCCGAGCCGTGAAAAAGCGAACCGTGACTTTTCCCGACGCGATCTTTCTAGATGAGTCCAACTCTCTAGATTGAGAATCCGCGAGCCGTGAATTCCGCGAGCCGGGATTTCCTAGAGCCGTGATATCCCGGAGCCGTGAATCATTGATATTTTTCTTTATTTTTTCCTTTCTTTTCAACTGGGAATTTTCTCCCCCAGATTTTTTTTACGCGCACATACAAAACTCAACGACTCTATCGCCACAGCCGGCATTGTACATATGTAAATAGGGTTTCGCAAGTGGAAAATGCACTGTGAACCAAAGTTTTTTCCTTAACTGTCACTAGTGGGAAAAGCACTGTGATAGTACTTTTTAATCTCTCGCAAGTGGAAAAAGCACTGTGAGCCAAATTTTTTCCCTCTTTAACTGTCACTAGTGGAAAGACCACTGTGATAGTATTTTTTTGACTCTCGCAAGTGGAAAACGCACTGTGAGCCCTACCAAATCAAGTTTTCACATGTAGAAAAAGTACTGTGAATAACTTTCGCCTGAAAGGATTTTCACTGACCGTTTTTTATGATTGCCTGTGGAAATCCCAACGGCTACCCAATCGCCCGCGGTCACTCCAAGGGCTACTCTCCCAACGCTTATTTTTTATGGCTAATCACTCAACTACGAGTGACATTTAGCCGCCAGAAATAGGCACATGCAGCGGCAATGCCCTTTGAATCTCGTATCCCATCGACGAATGTCTGGGCCAGAGGTATATGGCAATTGTGAAGGTATTTTGCTAACCTGAGGATTTGTCAACGAGCAACCAAGGAACACGCAACCATCAACCACTGCCATCGACTTCAAGTTAAAGAGAAGGTATTTTGATGACCTGAGGATTTGTCAACGAGCAACCAAGGTATACGCATCAATTATCAATTTTTCTTAGCCTTTATTTACTTTTTTTTTGTTTCGTCTCCTTGCACATAACGGTTTCGAGATCAAAAAAAAACCAAAGTAAATTAAACGTAAAGCATCACCGCTGAGTCTTTGCGAAATTGTGGAAGAAGAGTAATGCACTAGACTTGCTTTCAACCACCTCAAATTGACATATCAGCACGACTTTAGATTGGATTTGAAAAAAAAAGGAAGCTCATGAATCGCGATGATCAGCGAATTCGCTAACCCGTGAATTCGTGGTTGGTCTGCCAAGAGAATTGAGGCAAACTTACCAAAAACGAGTCTTTATTTCCAAAAAAAATGGTATTTTCAGAGAATACCATGAGTTTCAATGAGTTCTCGAAATTGAGACTATATGAAATTCTTATTTTGATGTGGTTGATTGATTCACTCACTTCCTTTAAAAAAAGAGTTCTAGTAATGATGAAAAAAAAGCAACGTTTCCTTGAAGACTTCAAAAACAACTTGCCAACAGTCATCAAAGCGTCTGTTTTTGCAATCTCACCATTTCTTTACTTCTTGTGAAAACCGCCTTATTTATCTGTCAAAAAGAAACTCGGCTGCGCCATTTTTCGTTCATTTCGACTTCTCACTTTTCCTGTCCTCTTTCTCAAGAAATGAGGATGGCAATTCACTCAAACCTGCATCTTGTGCAACCTTTGCATCATCACATTGCACAACGATTCGTTTCTTCACAAAATTACTGCGTTCACTCACAAAAAGAAAATTTTTTTTGCTAGTTTTGTAGGAAATGCTAGTTTTGTAGGAATTTGATCAAATAATCATTTCAGGCAGTTAGTTTTATCGAAAAAATACAGATCCATTTCTACCTTCATTATTTAAAAAAAATTTGACCCGTATCTTTGTTGGCATGGTGCGCTGAACAAAAAGCGATTTATATTGCGTCTTTCTGCTGAAAAGTTGAAATGCATTCTCTACTGACCACAAACCTGGCAGATCAGACAATTGCAGATTCAACGCGCAGTATAGCTGATAAAGCTTAGGCGCAAATGGGAAGTTTCTTTTTTTTGTATTCTTAGTCTGTCTGAGTTTTGGAAAATCCAGTGAAACAGATCAATAAAAATTACGGACGTATTCAACGGCCAACTTCTAATATGCTTTCTTGTTGGAACTAATTAGCCCCTCATATCACAAAAACTAAGGACTGGGACAATATCGCGTTCACTCGCCCCAGTGGTCCATTGGTAAAGAGAAATACTCATTACTTTCGTAAACTCATTTATCATCTAAATAGCAATCCTCTTGGCATCAAAATCTTTCAAAACACTCGTTTCGTACCCCCTCTCATCTCATAAAGTAAAAGTAGCCTAGCTCGATAGCTTGGGCCTGCCTTCAAAAAAAAAGCCTTTGAAAGAGGCTACGGTAGACTAAGTATTGCTTGAAATCATTCTATACACGCCGAAACAAGTAGTGCCAAACCATCTAGAAAGCTTTTCAGTGTGGCCTAAAGCTCTATCTCAACATAAGAACTACACACAAGTTCATTATTTGTAACAATTTCGGTACCTTGCAGTACTTTAGTTTTAGACACTCTTTAGGATGTCAACACAAAAAAAAAATTATATACGAGCTAATTTGTGCAACCAGTTGTCTTTGCGTTTATAGT